TACCAGAAATTCTGCAGAAATAATACATATTTGAGTAAAATTTTATCAACCTACTTCATTTTGTTCGGAAGCTAGAGTGATTTCCACAGACGGACGGACATCGTTAAATCGACTTAGAATTTTACGATGATCAGAGTATATATACTTTGTTGGACCTGACATGAGTATTTCAAAGTATTACAAACGGGATGAAAACATCATATACCCTCCATAGTATGGTGGAGGATATAAAGAGACACGTGTATAGGCGTTTTGCTAGTTTAGTTCGAAAACCAAAATAAAGGGGCGAAGTTCCCCACCTCTTCCACACTTTTTGACATTTTCGGATTAGGATTCCTCGGAGTTCGTGCATTTTATGTTTATAGTGTCTTCGGCAATATTGCAGATAAAAGCAGCAAGGATAGGTCAAAAGTGGGGCGGGCCGAATATATGGTACCCTACGCTACTATGCGTATTTATTGGGGCTGCCGTAACAAAAAAGTTTATATTTGGAAATTATCGGAAGTAGATTATGGGAAGTAGATCACAATAGTCCGACGGATTGGTATCTGGAGATTTTGGTGGCCATTGTGCGCTGGAAATGAAGCGAGGAACCTCATTTTGTAACCATTCTTGGGTGGCTCGTGTTGAGTGCGATGGTGCTGAGTCCTGCTGGAATGTCCAAGGTCTGCGGCCAAAATGTTTGCGTGCCCAGGGCTTTAATATACCTTCCAGAATATTTTCGCGATAATATTCGGCATTTATTATGAGGCCACTGTCGATTTATACGAGCGAAGAGCGACCATCGGCTGTTATGGCAGTCCACACCATCACCATGGCCGACGCTTTAATTGTGGTGGCCAACCGAAGGTGTACATTTTCAGCTGATCTCTTTAGCAAGTAAACACGATCATATTGTTTGTTTACAAACTGCTGGACAACGAATGTTTTCTCATCGGAGAAAACCAAATTCGGCAGTTCGCCACATTCGGCCAAGAGAAGCAATTCTTTAGTTCTTTTGAGTCTATTTTCTTGCTGTTGCGGTGTGAGTTCTTGAACTTTCTGAAATTTCAATGGCTTTACCCTGAGCTCATTTTTTCAATATTTGCCGAATAGAATATTGCGATATGTTCAGCTCACGGGCCGAGCCATTTTTCGGCCACTGCGAGGAGGGTTTCGATCAAGTCGCTTTTTTTAATTTTCGAACCATTTCTTCCGATGTTGCTGTTTTCTTCCCTCCACTTCCTTGACGTCGAGCTACGCTACCAATATCACGGTAACGAGCTATGGTACGAGACACAAAAGATTTATTCATATTTAAATGCTGGAGTGCTCTAACGATAGCCACTTGTGGTGTGGCTCCAGCCAAATATAAAAACATCACACTATCACGCTTGAATTCCATCACGAATAACTTTTTTCTGGAAAATGCTCAACAAAATGCTTTTGTATGCTTGTAAACAATATAATGACCAGTCACTGGAATAGTTTTAAAAGCTGTCGGACGAGTGTCTTAGAAATGACAGCAGTCTAAAGTTGGTTGCAGTTTCTTCTCACTCTGTGTGTGGGAGTTATAGTTATATCAGAACCGATTCGGTTTTTAGGCCGAATACCGTCGGAAGTGCCAAAATTAAGTTCATTTGTGCACAATAGGTGCACAATAAACTTGATATCGGATAAAGATATATGTGGGAGCTATATCCTAATCTGATTCGATCTCGATAAAATTTGACAGAGGTATTTTATTACCAATCAGTACTTTTTGAAGAATTATGGTAAGCAATTCCAAACCCAGCTCCATATCTTAATGACAGATACTAAGAGTGACATCTATATCAAATTTCAGGATTTCCGCTCTATCCCTTCACCCAATACCATATTTATTACTAAATATGGTACAATTATAGTGCACATTTCTAAAATCACCTTCATATCTCAATTCTAGGAACTGACATAGATCTCAAGATCAAATTTGTGCATTCAGGCCCCATCCCTTGACCCATGTGTACCATTCTGTACTTTTCGTAAAAATATTGTACGCATTTTCAAAACAATCTTTATATCTCAACCTCAGATTCCAACAGTTATCTTATCTTATCTTATTTCTGGATTTCAGCCCTATTCCTTCACCCAATACCAAGTGTAGTACTATTTAGTGCTTTTCGTACAATTATAGTACAAACCAACCACCAACAGGACACCAATATAAAATTTTTAAATTCCAGCTTCATCCGTCCACCTTAATTGTCATGGCCTTTTTTTGGAAGGTCTTAATTATTACTTGTGTACGGAAAGATGTGGAGATTATTGATTTTCTGTAGAAAAAAATTACTGGTCTTCTATTCGAAGTCCTGTTGGACTTCTATACTTTTAGGAAGAAATTTAGATTTTCTATATTAAGACTTATTACTTTTCTATAGAAAGTAATGCTATGAAGTAATGCTCATTTGTTTGGTTGTTTTTTTTTTTTATACCCTCCGCCATACTATGGAGGGTATATTAACTTTGTCATTTCGTTTGTAACTCCTCGAAATACTCATGTCAGACCCAACAAACTATATATATTCTTGATCAGCGTAAAATTCTAAAGTCGATTTAGGGATGTCCGTCTGTCTGACTGTCCGTCTGTCTGTCTGTTGTAATCACGCTATCTTTCGAACGAATTGAAATAGAAGGCTAAAATTTTGCACACCTGTCTATTTTTCCAGTAGGCAGGTTAAGTTCGTTAATGGGCCATGTAGGTCCACGTCTTCGTATAGCCCCCACATAACGGTATCTCCCTATATTCGGTATTTTGATGATTTTAGCGCCATTATTCACCGAAAGTGTTTCAAATTACGTATTTAGAGTTCGTAATAGGAACTACAGTCTGTGACAGAAAAATGTCTATGCAGGTCCAGGTCTTCGTATAGGCCCCATATATCAGTACCTCCCTATATTCGGTATTTTGACGAGTTTAGGTACAATACCTACCGAAATGGTTTGAGATGTGGTATTTGACGTTAGTAATGGATGCTATAGCCTGTGACAGAAAATTGTCTATGCTGGTCCAGGTCTTCGCACAGCTCCGATATAATGGTACCTCCCTATATACGATATTTTTCATTATTCACCGTTTATTTCAAGTTTCGAATTTGAATATTTGAATATATCCACGTCGTATATACTCCAATATAAGGGCAATATTCGGTATTTTTAAAATCTTAACAGAATTTTTTAAGGATTTTATTTTTTAAAAATTTCCAAATTCGTTCCAAATGGTGGAGGGTATTCAAAGTTCGGCCCGGCCAAACTTACTACTTTTTAACCTGTTTTTTTTTTTTTGTCTGTTTTCTGCACCAAGAGATCCTTTGACATTCCGCATGAAGACCCATTAGTAGTCTACAGAATTGCTTGTTGGTTTTTATAAAAAAAAAAAAATATTGGGCTTCTAAACACAGTTCTTATAATGATATATAGGTGGGCTCTTGGCTATTTCGCCTTTTATTGAAAGGCTCTCCATAGGAACGTTAATTTCTATATGACGGTCTATGGTATTATATAGGAAATTATTATAAAATATTATACATAGGGAAGACTTATTTGTCTTGCATGTCTACTTGTCTTGTTGGAAATATCATTTTGTCTTCCTTGAGCTTTCTAAGGACATTCTGCTACCCCCTATAGTTATGTTTTATGCTTGTAAAACATTTATGTTCCGTTTTTTATTGAAAATTAAAACAAATGTTTTTCAAATTTTTATAAACAAATTTTAATTCAATTTATTATTCAAATGTATGGTTAGCAAAAAAAAACAAAATGATTTGATCATATTAAGATCTCGGTGTCAACTGAACTCTCATTCTAAATTCATCTTCTTTTAAAAGTAATTAATATTTTGAATTTACAACAATAAATATAAAATACAATAAAAACAAAATTGTAGTTAAAGTGGGAGTGAGTGGGAGAATATTGGAGAGTTTCTATTGATAGATGAGAGAGACGAAGAGAAGGAGAGAGAATGAAAGTGAGAGACTTTAATTTGATGAGAGATATTAAAATAAGAGAGTGATATTTATGAATTAAAGAATTTGAATGTTGGGTGAAATATGTGAAGAGAGAAAGGCATTAGGTAAAGTGTATTAGGGTGGGTAGACGAATGTGACTCTATGGGAAGAAGAAGTCATAATGTTCGATTTAAAAAAGACTCGTGATTTTTTTCTATACACTGAATATTTTCGTATTTTTTGTTGGAGGAAAATATCATTTGGTCGACTATGACAATAAGACAGAAGCGTCTTCTCTGGACAGGAGGTAAAGGAGATGCTACTTGTTTACAATTGAAAAAACCAATGGTGTTCTATGAGATAAGTTATGTGTTGTCGAAATAATTCTCTTATGGATAATGAAGGGTCGTTTTGTTTTCTTAATTTTAAAGTTTAATTCCGGCCTTCAATAGCTCCCAAAGAATTAAATACTCAGATGAAATAAAATTTACTGATTTTATATGGGCTCGAATGTCCAATGAGGTTCCTAGAAACCACACTTTTCCGTTAATTATTACATATACATATGCCTTGAATTTAATTTTCCAATCCCTAGAAAAATACCCTTCTGCAAATTTTCTTTTAAGCTCCACTCCTTGCATACACACACATTCACACAACGTATTGCCCACCATAACCCTGGCACGTTCATTAAAATCTGTTGTTCAATACGTTCCTTTGTTCAAAGAGGAGATACCAATTACTTGTTTTTTTTTTTTTTTTTTTTTTGTATTTTAATATCCTACCCATAGCGAATGTGGCGCTGTAAATTAATATTCCACTGGGTAAAGGAATCAATAACTACTTTTTAATTAAGTACGGGCTGTGAAAAAAAAAAACTCATTTTACAGGACACCTACTGCTACCCTTCATTCCCCCCCCCCTTTTAACAACACCCAAAGATTTGTATTATTATTACTTTTATTCGCCTTTGATAATGTACCATCTGCTACACCCCCATTCTTATTTGGCTGTTCTCATTTTGTTTCATTCCAGGAATCCATTGCTTTCAAAGATTCGCCGAACAGCCAAAGTACTCGGAAGTGAATCCAGGTCAGGACGCTCTGTTAACGTGTAAAGTTATCGATAAACGTGGCACATGTTCATGGCAAAAGGATAACAAGGTATGTATGGAAATCAGCGAATGCGTATGTGTGTTTACCCGGGTATGACTGAGTATCAGTGTCAGGGGTGGGGGGTGGTAAATCGAAATTATTTAAACATGACTCGTCCTCAGTCAGTTTTCAGCGCCTTATATATGCCAGGGTATTTGAATATTTATAAACTAGTGAATTTCTAAATTATTTTTGCGTCCATAACTTGTGTGGTTTCGTAAACTTTAAAATGGGGTGATAAGAACTTTAACGAAAATGTTCTCAATTTTTTTTTTTCGCTAGCTAAGCAAACAAAAGTCGGTGTAAACTTAAATAACATGGCACAGTGGTTAAAAATGAATTTGAGGTCTTCTTCGTAGACGACCTTGAGGTGTTCTCCATAGAAGACATGGAGGTCTTCTTTCTTATAGAAGACCTGGAGGTCTTCTTTCTTATAGAAGACCTGGAGGTCTTCTTTCTTATAGAAGACCTAGAGGTCTTCTTTCTTATAGAAGACCTGGAGGTCTTCTTTCTTATACAATACCTGGAGGTCTTCTTAATAGAATACCAAGAGGTCTTATTCATAGAAGACCTGGAGGTCTTCTTCATAGAAGACCTGGAGGTGTTCTTCATACAAGACCTGGAGGTCTTCTTCATAGAAGACCTGAAGGTCCTCTTTTTCTTAGAATACCTGGAGGTCTTCTTTCTCATAGAAGACCTGGAGGTCTTCTTCATACAAGACCTGGAGGTCTTCTTTATACAAGACCTAGAGGTCTTCTTCATAGAAGACCTGAAGGTCCTCTTTTTCTTAGAATACCTGGAGGTCTTCTTTCTCATAGAAGACCTGGAGGTCTTCTTCATACAAGACCTGGAGGTCTTCTTCATACAAGACCTGGAGGTCTTCTCCATAGAAGACCTGGAGGTCTTCTTCATAGAAAGCTTGGAGGTCTTCTTCATAGAAGGCTTGGAGGTCTTCTCCATGGAAGGCCCGGAGGTCTTCTTCATTGAAGACCTGGAGATCTCCTCCATGGAAGGCCCGGAGGTCTTCTACATAGAAGACCAGGAGGTCTCCTTCATAGAAGACCATGAGGTCTTCTTCATAGAAGACCATGAGGTCTTCTTCATAGAAGACCATGAGGTCTTCTTCTTAGTATACCAGGAGGTCTTTTCCATAGAATACCTGGAGTTCTTCTCCATAGAAGACCTGGAGTTCTTCTCCATAGAAGACCAGTTGTTGGTCTTCTCCATAGAAGACCTTGAGGTTTTCTCCATAGAAGACCTTGAGGTCTTCTCCACAGAAGACCTGGATGTCTTCTCCTCAGAAGACCTGGATGTCTTCTCCACAGAAGACCTGGATGTCTTCTCCACAGAAGACCTGGATGTCTTCTCCACAGAAGACCTGGATGTCTTCTCCACAGAAGACCTGGATGTCTTCTCCACAGAAGACCTGGATGTCTTCTCCATAGAAGACCTGGATGTCTTCTCCATAGAAGACCTGGAGGTCTTCTCCATAGAAGACCTGGAGATCTTCTCCATAGAAGACCTGGAGGTGTTCTCCCTAGAAGACCTGGAGATCTTCTCCATAGAAGACCTGGAGGTCTTCTCCATAGAAGACCTGGAGGTCTTCTCCATAGAAGACCTGGAGGTCTTCTCCATAGAAGACCTGGAGGTCTTCTCCATAGAAGACCTGGATGTCTTCTCCATAGAAGATCTGGTGGTCTTCTTCACAGAAGACCTGGAGGTCTTCTCCATAGAAGACCTGGAGGTCTTCTCCATAGAAGACCTGGAGGTCTTCTCCATAGAAGACCTGGAGGTCTTCTCCATAGAAGACCTGGAGGTCTTCTTCATAAAAGACCGAATGGTCTTCTCCATAGAAGACCGAATGGTCTTTCCCATAGTAGACCGAATTGTCTTCTCAATAGAAGACCTGTAGGTCTTTTTAAAAAAAGACCTTGAGGCCTTCTTCATAGAAGACCGAATGATTCTTCTTCATAGAAGACCAGTTGGTGGTCTTCTCCATAGAAGACCAGTTGGTGGTCTTCTCCATAGAAGACCTGGAGGTCCTCTCCATAGAAGTTCTGGAGGTCGTCTCCATAGAAGACCTGGAGGTCTTCTCCAAAGAAGACCTGGAGGTCCTCTCCATAGAAGATCTGGAGGTCGTCTCCATAGAAGATCTGGAGGTCGTCTCCATAGAAGACCTGGAGGTGTTCTCCATAGAAGACCTGTTGTCGGTCTTCTCCAAAGAAGACCTGTTGTCGGTTTTCTTCATCGAAAACACAAAGTATCCCACTGTGCCCTGTTTTGCGTGCCGGAAAACTTTATAAATTTATCATTTATTGCCTCCATTGTTGCCCTGATTTCCGTTATTGTTATTTTTCTTGTTGTTGTTGTTTGTGTTACTGTTTCATTTTGTTTGTCTTCTTCGAAGTTGATAGTTTTCTTGGAAAATAATAAACAACTGCATGCAAAGAAGGCAGAAGAAAAAAATAAATGAACAATACAAGTGAATGACAATATCCTTGATATACAAAGGAGGTCTATTTGTGCGGCATGAAATGAACAAATTCTCGAGAATTGCATATCTAATTGCATATCTAGTTGAGGCTCGGTGCGACCAAGTACATGTTGCACAATTATTATTATTATGATTCTGAAAATAAATTTGAGGGCAAAATGGAAATAATATGAAGTTAGTGAGAAAAATAATGGGTGCTGTTTTTGGAATGGCGGGTGATAAGTTTAGGAGGGGTTTTGAAAATATGGAGGTGTACAGTCTTCAATTATTTTCTATTGTATGTATTTTTTATTTTATTTATTTATATTTCTGAAATGTGTTTAAAAAATGCTAACGAAGAGGATTCGAAAATAAAGAATAGGAAAAAGCCGTTAGCCCAGGATCGTTCTTGTAGGGATGGATCAGACTCGTTGGAAGATTGATTGATTGATAGTGTGTAACTGATTTAAAAATATTGCCCTCAATCTCAAGGAGTTCACAAAATTTTTGAAGGTTTAAAGAGGTTCCCCCAAAATATATGACCACCATGGCAATATTGAAATGTTTATAAATAACTATAATAACATATTATATTTATACCCTCCACCATAGTATGGAGGATATGTTAAGTTTGTCATTCCGTTTGTAACACCTCGAAATATACATTTTAGACCCCACAAAGTATATATATATATTCTTGATCAGCACAAAATTCTATGTCGATTTAGCAATATCCGTCCTTCTGTCCGGCTGTCCGTCTGTGGAAATCACTCTAGCTTCCGAACGAAATAAAGTAGGTTGATAAAATTTTACTCAAATTTGTATTATGTCTGCAGGACTTTTGGTATTGAAAATGGGCTACGTAGGTCCACGTCTTCGTATAGTCCCCATATAACGGTACCTCCCGATTTTCGTTATATTGATGATTTTAGCGACATTATTCACCGGAATTGTTTCAAATTTGGTATTTAAAGTTCGTAATGGATACTACAGCCAAAGACAGAAAATTCTCTGTGCAGATCCACGTTTTCGTATAGCCCCCATATAACCGTACCTCCCGATATTCGGTATTTTGATGATTTTAGAGACATTATTCATCGGAATTGATTTAACTTGTGTATTTGAAGTTCGCAATGGATACTACAGCCTGTGCAGGTCCACGTCATTGGATGATTTTAGCTACTTTGTTACAAATTTTTTATATCCTACACCAGAAGGTGGTCAGGGTATTATGCCTTTGTGCATTTGTTTGTAACAGGCAAAAGGAGACGAGATAGATCCATAGTTCCTTTTGATGGCCTGCATAGAATCACATTCTGAGTCGATTTATGCATGTCCGTCCGTCCGTCTGTCCATCTGTCCATGTATTTTTGTAAACAAAGTACAGTTCGCATTTTTTGCCCTATCCAGATGAAATTTTGCACAAATCAATTATTTGGCCCAAGGACGAACCCTATTGAAATTGGAGATAATCGGTAAAAATTTAGATATAGCTCCCATATATATCTTCGTCCGATTTGCCTTTTATTGTGCACCAAACGTGTAATATTAGCCCGAATAATATGAAATTTTGCACATACAACCGAATTAGGCCTGAAAATAAGTATAACAAATTTGATCGAAATCTGTTCAGTAGCTATAGCTCCCATATATATTTTTCATCTGATTTGTTATTTTTGTCCTCCGAAGCCGTAATATGCACTCTGTAACTACAATATTTGGGGAAATAAATCAAATACAGCTCAGAAATACATTTGCTAAATTTTATCGTGATCGGTTCAGATTTGGATATAGCTCCCATATATAACTCCGTCCGATTTACCTTTTATTGTGCACCAAACGTCTAATATTTGCCCAAATGGGATGGAATTCGGCACATGCATTCTAACTCAGTCTAGAAGCTAGTATGCCAAATTTGATCGAAATCGGTTCAGATATAGCTATAGCTCCCATATATATTGTTTATCCGATTTGTTATTTTTGTCCTCCGCAACCGTAATATGCACTCCGTAACAACGATATTCAGGGAAACATATCAAATACAGCTAAAATATCTTTGCGAAATTTTATCGAGATCGGTTCAGATTTCAAATTTCAAATTAATTTTGCACCAAATGGGCAATACAAGTCCGAATTTAAAAGATAGAAATGATTCGGCATATTTAGTCCTTTGAACTTTAAATTATAATTATATATAACAGCTACCTTCGGCATTTTAAGATTTTAACAGAATTTTTAATGGATTTTATTGCTTTTGAGATTTGCTAAATTCTTTCCAAATGGTGGAGGGTATTCAAAGTTCGGCCCGGCCGAAATTAATGTTTTTTTCTTGTTTAATCTAAATAATTTGTATTTTTTTAATTTATTTTTCTTTATTTCCAAAATCTCACTTTTTGGGATCCAATTAGTATATCGCCCTTCACATAATTGCCTTTGTAATAAAAGACCCTTATCGAGACATATGCCATTAGACGATATGAAAGCATGATTGTCCTTCAATCGTTTTGTTACTCAAAGTGCTGCTCAATCGTCTGGT